CCCCTCACCCCCGCCTCCCCCTCCGCAGACTTCGCGGCCCTGAACCTCAACAGCGGCTCCAGCGGGGCCTCGGATCAGGACACGCTGGCCCCGCTGCCCCACCCGGCTGCCCCCTGGCCCCTGGGGCAGGGCTACCCCTACCAGTACCCGGGGCCCACGCCCTGCTTCCCGCCCGCGTACCAGGACCCCGGCTTCGGCTACGGCAGCGGCAGTGCTGGCAGTCAGCAGAGTGAAGGTGAGGGCCTCCCGCCCGGCCGCCACACCTTCCCCACCGCCTAGATCTGCCCTGTGTGCCGATTCCCCCACCCTGTGCGCTCCCATCCGCTGTGTGCTTGGGCCCTGGGTGGCTCCTTCTAGAAGGGGCGAGTGGTCGAAGGGGGGCCAGGAAGAACCCGGAGGCTTCAGGGGTTGCGTGCGGGGGCTGGTGCTCCAGCCGTGGCAGAGGCCAGAGGTGGTGTGGGAAGGATGGGGGCGTCGGGGTGTGGTGGCCCGGGTGGGGGAGTGGCACGGGGACCCCAGGACACAGTGGAGGACAGAGACTTCCGCTTTCCACCTGCAGCCGGAGGTGACAGTTTCATAGACGGCCCAGCCCGATGCTGGGATGTGTGGGGCAGCTGAGCGGGAAGCTTGGGGTGTCCCTGAGGAGGGGACCTGTTGGAAGTGTCCCGAGGCTGAGTGGGGTCAGTGAGGTCCGTGGGCCCGTGCCCTCAGCGTCCGGGGAGAGGTCTGGTGGCTGGCCCGGTGGACCCAGAAAGGGACGGGGAGACAGGAGAGTGGATCGGAGGGTAGTGGTGTCCGAGGGGAAGCCGTGTTGGGCACCTGTGGACCCTGGACAGGCCCAGCCGGTGGGGTCACACCCTGGTAGCAGGGTGTGGGTGCCCAGCCGCGCCTGCTCTGTAACTCCTCTATCCCTTGCTTTGTGCTGGGCAAGCCTTAGACTGAAGGACTAGCGGAACGGACCCTCGGGGCCGGTAAGCCAGGGTCCTGCCCGGCGTCCCTCCCGGCACGTCCCCAGCCAGTGGGCGTCTTCAGGTTCCCGACACTTCCTGAGCCCAGGAGGGGCTGAGCCGAGTGGCCAGCCAGGGCTCCAGGGTCAGATGAAAGGCGGGTCTTGGGTGGGGAGCCCAAGATGGCCGGCAGGTGCGCCGAGCACACACGGCCTTCTCTGGGCCTCGGTTTCTCAGCTGCAAGACCCGGCCCTCGGTCCAGGCACTGGGGTGAGGAGTGGGGGCACTGAGCTGGCCCTGGTGTCCCTGCCTGTCTGCCACTGCCCCCCCGCGCCCCCCCCTCAGCCTGCTGCAGCTGTTCTGCTCTTGCTTCCCTGGGCGGGGCCGGCCCAGCCCTCGTGTCTGCATGGCTCCCCCCTCCACCTGCACCCCCGACTCAGGACCACCAGGCTCTGCCCCTGGTTGTCCTCGCAATGGCCGGCCGGGCGTCTTGGAAGAGGCAGGGCCCGGCACTGACCGTCCCACTCCTCTCCCCCCTTCTTGACCCCAGGAAGCAAAAGCAGTGGGTCCACCCGGAGCGCTGGCGGGAGCAGCCGTCGGGCCCTCGGGCGCGAGAAGGAGAGCCGGTCAGCTGGAGCTGGGGGCAGTGGCAGCGAGTCGGACCACACAGTGCCAAGCGGGGTGGGCAGCGGCGGCTGGCGGGAGCGTCCTGCTGGCCAGCTCAGCCGTGGCAGCAGCCCGCGCAGCCAGGCCTCGGCCGCCGCCCCCGGGCTCCCCCCGCTGCACCCCCTGACAAAGGCGTACTCGGTGGTGGGCGGGCCGCCTGGGGGGCCGCCTGTCCGGGAGCTGGCCGCTGTCCCCCCAGAGCTGACAGGCAGCCGCCAGTCCTTCCAGAAGGCCATGGGGAACCCCTGTGAGTTCTTCGTCGATATCATGTGACCAACGAGAGAGTGCTTCCGGCCTGGCCACCGCTCCCGGCCAGTGGTCCTGCTGCCCCTGCAGGAGGGGCTGCACCTGGAGCTTGTGTGGCCTTCGTGGCCTTCCTGGGCCAGACCAGCCTGTGCTTCGTGCCATGGGGTCTGGGCCTGGCCAGAGTGGCAGCAGGCTGGAGTGGAGGGGCTGAGGGCAGCCCAGGCCACCGTAACCTGGATGGCAGCCCGTCCTCCTGGCCAGAGCAGCTGTGTCTGTGCAGACCCTGGTGGGGGGGCCTCCATCTCCCTGTGCTCAGGCAGGTCTGACCTGCCCCCCCTTGGCGTGTGCCTCAGGGACCCGCACTCGCCCACAGTGCTGTGCACGGGGCCTCAGGTTGAGCTGAGAGGTGGCCGCTAGGCCTGGGCCCACCTCTTCACCTGGTTCACAGGCCCCACCCCCACCCCCATCCTGCCCAGGCCGGGGTGGGGGGCCCTCTCGGGGGTAGTGTCCTAGCCCCAAGGCCTCTCTGTGGCTGCCCAGGGTAGGGATCTAATTTATTTATTTATTGCCTGGCCTGTGTGCTCCACGGGGTGGCGGCCAAGTCAGCTGTCCCCCACTCCCAGCCACTGGAGCAGAGTTTCATGTGTTCACCCCCACCCCGCAGGGACACACGGTGTGTGTCTGAAGGTGTGCGGGAGGACGGTGAGGGGGAGATGGCAGGAGAGGGAAGGTGACCCTGAGCGCAAGGGCCACAGATGCACACAGCTGCTGCCAGGGCGGGGTCTGGGGCAGAGGGCGTGGCCAGTTCGCCTCTCCCCGCGGTCCTGGGGTGGCCGCCCACGCACGCGCACGCACGCACGCACGCACGCTGCTTCCTCCGTCCAGCGTCGCTGACCTGCACACGTCTGCACTGTAGATACCGTGCAGAGCTGGAGCGTCGTCCAGGTAGTTAATAGAGCTGCTTCTGTGTAAATGCTATTTTAAACACTAAAAAGCATTTAATTTTATGGGACCGACGTGTGATCTGTGTCTTTTTTTTCCCACTTTAGGAGATTGGGGTGCAGGGGCCGGGTCAGCTTCCCCAGGGTCCGTCCGAGAGCTGACCCAGGACTGGCTAGGTGCTGTCCTCTGGGTGCCAGCTCAGCGACAAGGCCCTGGCCGCAGCAGTCCTGGCGGGCGGTCTTCTGTCTGTGGTGCTGGCTCCTGGCTCCGGTGGGGGGTGCCGGGGG